GAGGGAGATCATCAGCATACTTGGACCCCATCCCACCACTAGCATTTGACCAAGCTCCTTTAATTAGAGGGAGATAGCACCTAAGTCAGCATTAAACCCTCCCTAAGGAGCTAAGCCTCAGCCTCCTTCCCCCTTTGTCCATACCTTGCTGAGGCAATACCTTAGGCAATTAAGGAAGTAGTACAAGTGTTAGGCCAAAGAAACTCTTGCCGTGCATGACTGAATGCATATAAAAACAGTATTTTCCAGAATTAGTTCTTTTTTCTATCTCACCTCAAAGTACCAGTAAATGTTACTTTAAACTCACCATTACATTCACCATTGTAAGATACAGTGATAGTGTCATTTTTTCCAAAGGCCTATATTTCCATTTTACACTCATTCAACATTAAACAAGGGAATTTCCAAAATGGAGGAAATTTTACCCCAGACAATGTCTATAACAGATACTATCTCAGATAACTGTACTTAATTGCATTTTTTGGAAATTGTAATGGTTATGATTAATTGGTAAAGGACTTTGAGTCTTCAAATTTAGTCCTTAATCATAACTGTGATTGACAAAAGGGACTCCTGCTTCATGGTTGTCCAATTTTGTAATCACTAGTATGAGTATACAAACTAAATTGGACTCAATCCACTCCATCCTATTACTATTACTTATTAAAAATTTCTGAGAAACTTTCTCCTGTATTAATATCTTTTGGTGTAGTTCAACTTAAACCTGAGCTTCCAATAATTGGAATCTTCAAATGGTTAATTTCTCTAATATACTTATTTTGCCTCAACTTTCTATCACTAATCAATATGATCAAAGTCTTTGATACTGACCACATACACCAATCTGCTGCACCATAATTGTGGATTCTTTTTCACAAGAATGACGCTGCATTTTACACTTGTTGCTGTATGTTTTACCATCCGTTCCACATACTGGAGCATATGTCTCAGCACAGGCCACGTTACAAGAACCTGCAATAAGGCATCAAGCATTCTTATCAAGGCTACATGCGACTAGAAAGTGCTTATATTGGTCTCTCAGAGGCATCCCAATTTGGGATTCAGTTTGATTCAAAGTTCAATCTTTGCCCTGCACATTAATCAACTCCACTGTTAAGTATAATTTTATGATCTGCCTGAACAATATCTATGAACTAACCAGAAAACCATACAATAAAAACATGATCAAAAGCTATTTATCTCATAAAAAAAATTAGAATATTATTCCAAACCCATTCACTTATTTTGTCTTAACACATCATGCCATATGTATTCAGCATGTACATTGTTCATATTTATTTTTTTCTCAGTTCGTGAGCAGGCGGTATTCTACAAATCCTGCAATCTGATT